TGACTCTATATCCTGGGACTACCTCTTTTACGTACTCCGCAAATGGGGATTCTCAAATGACTTCCTCCTGTGGATTAAAGCCCTGTACCTCCTGTGGATTAAAGCTACCTCAGCTGCCTCCCACCCACATTCCCTATCCAGGGTGGAACTCGACAGGGATGCCCCCTTTCCCCCCTCCTTTTTCTCCTGGCCATTGAACCCTTAGCCCACCTAATTCGAATCAACCCTAACATTCATGGTATTATTAAAGGTCATACAGACTATAAGCTTCATATGTTCGCGGATGACCTGTTTACTCTTTCCCAGCCCATTGTCTCCCTCCCTAATTCTCACTCTTACACTCCTTTGCCCAAGTTTACAATCTAACGGTTAATAAATCCTGTGCGCTCAACATTACACTGGCACCTCAACAGGTAACTGATCTCAGCCACAACTTCCAATTTAAATGGCACAACTCCCACCTAAAGTATCTTGGAGTTAATATCTCCAACATCTACGATACTCTCTATGCTACCAATTACCCTCCAATATTTAGAATCCTTAGGGACCGATTGTCCTCCTGGACACGACACAACCTCTCCTGGATGGGCAAAATCAACACGGTGAAAATGATTCCAGGCTCAGGCTCGATTCCAGGTTCAGGCAGGTGTCGTTTGTCTGGGGTACAAAACGCCCCAGGGTGTCCAGGTTCACATTACATGCCCATAAACATGATGGAGGCCTAGGCCTCCCCCACTTCCATAAATACTGCCTCAATAGTCAGTCTTTTTCAATCCCCTTGTAACCCACTATGGGTGGATCTGGAAGCAATATATTGTGCACAGCACTCCTTATGCTCCTTACCCTGGTTGCCACCCAGACTCCGCCCTCCCTCTATGAGCCCTATATTGACCCACACCTTTACCTTGTGAGATTCCACCAGGTATTCCAGTAACCTTCAGTCTCCACACCTCCCATTACTTCCCATACTGGGCAATCCTTTATTCCCCCCGGGCCTTGACTCCCCTCTTGCATTCACATGGTGGACTTTCAAAGGGCTGATCTGCTGGAGGATGGGTCAGTCCGCCAATGGGACTATTTCAGGGACAAAATGGGAGCCCCAGCCACTGAATACTTCAGGTATCTTCAACTTCGACACTGGGTTGCCTCTTCGCTCACACAATCCTCAACCAGGGCGGGTCTCACTGTGTTTGAACACACATGTAAACATGATCCTTACAGCCCCAAACTAGTCTCTCTGATTTACTCCCACCTCAACGCACTGACCTCCCCATCCAGACATACCTATGTTGTCAGATGGGAGCGGGACCTCGGAACCACACAACCACCAGAAATTTGGCAACAAATCTGGACCTCCATGGCCACCTGCTCAAATAATGTATCCTCGCTGGAAACCGCCTTTAAGTCTCTCACACGGTGGTACCTAGTGCCGCCTAGATTAGCCCATCTTCACCCCTCTCACACACCAACCTGCTTTAGAGGCTGCCTATCACAGGGCGATGTCCTCCACACGTGGTGGACCTGTCCTATGCTTGCCAGATTCTGGTCAAAAGTCTTTCATCTGCTGAACAGATTATTTTCAGTGAATCTTCGCAAGGACCCATGGCTGGCCTTGCTACACCTCAAATCCCCGCTTCTCACTAAAAATCAACACCGCTTACCCACACATGTTCTGCTGGCAGCTAAGCAAACTATTGCTTCAGCCTGGAAAAAGCAGTTTGTGTCATTCAATGAGGTTACACGGAGGATAGACTTTTTCTCTCTGAATGAGAAACTGTCCTTTCGGATGCCAATAAAGCCTTCACGAAGATCTGGCAACCATGGATAGACTATGCCCACCCATCCCTGGCCCTGGATAGCCTTTAAGCCCTATAGATTTTTATATCTAATGTATGAAGATCAGACAACCCCAGTTCCTCCTTTCCTCTCCCTCTCTCCCCTTTCTCCATCCTTTCTACCCTGCTCTCTAGATTACAGTACCTCGGATTCCCTTATCCGTTCTGTTCCTTTTCCTCTTGATGCTCTCCTGTTGGAGACGCCCGGAGATACCGAGATCATAAAAACATGCTATCTAAGGATACCTATTATCCCCACATCTCTTCAATATATACATTACAGTATTGTTTCCTGTATATTGTATGCTATACCATGTTAAAATTCAATAAAAACTTTGAAACAAAATAATTAGGGCTGAAACAAAATAATTAGGGCTGGTAATGATTACAATTTTCCTGTTCGATTAATCGAACAAATTTTTAATCGATTAATCGACTAATTTCGATTAATTCTAACGCACATACAGAGGGGGATCTCACCAGAGCTTTGAGGGGTCCTCACCAGGGTAGCAGGGCTCTGTGGGGTCTAACCAGCCTTGTTAGACCCACAGAGCCCTGGCAAGACCCCACAGAGCCCTGGCAAGACCCCACAGAGCCCTGGCAAGATCCCACAGAGCCCTGGTCTCACCAGGGCTCCGTGGGGACTCACCAGGGCTCTCTGGGGACTCACCAGGGCTCTGAGGGGGTCTCACCAGGGTAGCAGATAGTAGATTTCTAACAGGGTAGTAGATTTTACATGACACGGAAGACCCGGAAGCCGGCGGAGAGGTGAGTACGGATCAAAAGAACTTTGATCGATCAATGCGCAGTGGGGGGATACAGGCATCCAGGACAGTGTGTTGGCTGCTAAGATCAGTGTAGCTCTGCAAGAGAGTGGAGAGCTGTGGGAAGCAAGACAGGCAAGTATTAACTCTCTGCTTCTAGAGAGTTAATACTTAGAGAGCTTTTCCAGTGCTTTTTTTCTGGCAGTACGCACCGGTACACAGTACAAGCTCCTACCGCCAGCCCTTTAATTTATTTATTTTTTGCGATATAGAATCGTGAAAAAAATATATTAAAAAAGGCTCCCTGGCGCAGTGATGACACCTGTCTGTCGCCATGTCCGTACACTTGCCATAAGTGTCCATTTGGCATGTGTGTGGACACGACCCCAGCAGACAAGCGTCATCACTCCACATAGTCTTCTGATGCTGTTTACCACCAAAGTGATGGCCACTGACAAAAAATATGTATTGTCGACGGCCATCTTGCGCATGCTCAGTGCGTCCCCTCTACCACAACCAAAGAAGTGCTCAGTGCAAAGCATTTCTGGGTTCAGTTTAGTGAAAAGTGGCAAAGGCGGAAGAGATTGTGTCCTCAATCTCTTTCTCCAGATCAAAGGGGAGTCATCAGGGGTCTGTTTGGATGCCCAGGGGGTTCACATGTAAGAGCTAGGGGGTACTTTATGAAGCAGGAGACTCACCGGCCCAAGTGATCCTGTCAGGTAACGAAGGGAAGGGGGAGGAGTCCGGTGACGTCACGGACATCAACGTCAACGGACTCCTCCCTCCTTCCCTTCGTTACCCATCACGGACAACTACATGACCCGACTCCTCCCCCCTTCCCTTCGTTAGCCGACAGAGCCACTCGGGGAGGGGGGAGGAGTCCGGTGACGTCGATGTCCGTGACGTCACCGGATCTCCGACGGAAGACCCGGAAGCCGGCGGAGAGGTGAGTACGGATCAAAAGAACTTTGATCGATCAAAATAATTTTGATCGATCAAAAAAATTAACGATTAATCGACGGATTAATCGTTAATTTCCGCACCCCTAAAAATAATCATTTTGAGTATCATTTTTTACAGGTACACAAGTGCACATAAATTGTAGCCTAGAAGTGGTTATTAAATGGCCAGTTTCCTTTTTTTTGTTTAACCCAATTTGCAAAGGCGCTGCTGTACAATTACGTTGACCCAGTCAGATCAGTGAATTGCAATCACTGTACTGGAAAATGCCTTATACCTCAAAATATAAAATAAATGCCCTTTTGCACTTTGACAAAACAATGCTGACATAAGCATCAAAACCTATATATATTTGGGGTCCCTAGACTAAAAAGGAGAAATATTTATGTGAGGCTATTGGAATGGTATTAATTATACAAAATATATTATGCATTAATCAAACTAAAACTGCTTTTTATTTTTATCCATTTGTCAGCTTATAAACAAATCTGAGCTAGATATTTGTTAAGTGTTTGCCAATTATATGTTCCTAAAAACCATGTAAAACTAATTTTGGTAGGTTATTTTAAGGCTAGCCAATGCATAAAAAAATCTTCTAAATTTGGCCTGGGCATCCAGGTTTCAGTGGCCCCTGGTCACGAAAGAGTTAATGTATTGTATGTTGTGTTGTCTGTGAAGTATGTGATGAACATTTTTTTTTTAACATTATTCTAATCTTTGATTATGTTGGTTTGCTAATCTGGTCATATTCTTAATATCTTCATACCCTTGATAATATCTTGCAAATGTGAAACAGTGCCTGGCGTGTATATTGTATACATGACAAATCTCCATTTTCTATGTATCTTCTCTTTTTTATTTTTTATTTTAATGGGTAAGGGCCCGTTCACACCAGATGCAGTGCGTTCCAGATGATTCTGGCCAGAACGCACTGCCTCACATTGCGGCTTGCTCACTTTTTGTGGGCGTGGCGGTCCATTGAAGTGAATGGCACCTTAGCCACGCCCTCCGGCCGCAATCCGATTGGCCGCACATTATGCCTGCGGTCCAATCCGATCAAAATAGTGCTTGCAGCCGATCGCATTGCGGCCCGAGGGAGTGGCTACGGTGCCATTCACTTCAATGGCCTGCCACGCCCCCTCCTGCCCCACAAAAAAGTGAGCCGGTCGCAATGCGAGGCAGTTCGTTCTGGCCAGAATCGGGCCAGTACGTACAGTATTGTTTCCTGTATATTGTATGCTATACCATGTTAAAATTCAATAAAAACGTTGAAACTTCAATGGCCTGCCACGCCCCCTCCTGCCCCACAAAAAAGTGAGCCGGTCGCAATGCGAGGCAGTTCGTTCTGGCCAGAATCGGGCCGGAACGCACTGCATCTGGTGTGAACAGGCCCTAAAGGTTTTTTGTTTTTTTTTTATCATTTTTGTTTTTTTATTTGTAGGAGACTATAAAGGGAGCTAAAATCAGTGGTGGCCTTTCGAACCTCTCCTTCTCATTTCGTGGATTGGATGCCATTCGAGAAGCAATGCATGGGGTATTTCTTTTCCATGCTATAAAGGTGAGAAATGGTCTGGATATCTAAAAATTCGAAGCTCTGTGCCATCGAATGTTTATTAATATACACTTATGAGCTCATATTTATAAAGGTTATCTTGCCCTAAATTTCTCAAAATGTTAGGCAATAGACCAAAATCTGAAATGTGAGTGTGCTGTTGTAATTCTACAGGTGTAATCATTGTTATAATTAATGTTATAGCTAGTGATGGGCAAACACACAAACTGTCAGGGCGTTCGGCGGGCTGTTCGCCTGTCGAGCGCCCCCACACGGCACTGCGTCTTGTGAAGCCCTAAGTGACCAAAGCCTTCCACCTGACCGCAGGTCAGGTGGAAGACTTTGCCCGATCAGAGAATTGTGAGAGCCATGCCTTTGCCCGATCAGGGCACAGAGAACTGCGAGAGCCATGCCTTTGCCCAAGCAGGGCTCTCCCTTCAGATACCCTACAACTGTAAACAGTTGGGCAGGACTAGCTGTCACCGCTAGCTCTGCCCAATTGTTTATATGTTGCCGTCATCTGTCAAAATTACATTTTGCGGCGGGATTTCGTTGCGAGCGGATGGGGCGGCTCATCACCTGCTGGAACAAGAGAGTTCAGTCCTGAATTCTCTTCTCTCTTTGCCCCAATTGCACGATGACCCGCAACATTGCTCCATGGCAAAATCCATTCTTCACTCCAACAGGGCCGTCGTCCAGGTGAAGACTAGGTGGTTGAGTTCCGCAACTGGGGGGCTGATACGGCCTGGAATGAAGCATCCTTTCCTCAACAGTTCTGGCTCGGTCTCCCCGAGTCTCTTAAAGATGAACTTGCCCGAGTGGGAACTCCTAGCACCCCTGAGGAGCTTATTCGCCTGACTATTCAACTTGATCGGAGGATTAGAGAGGTGAATGGAGAGGACGGGCACAATCCGTCCTACCTGGATGCTCCCTTGTGTGCCATCTGCACCTTTTGTCCACTTTACAGAACCTTCTGCTGGAGCTTCTTCCTCTAAAGTTAAGCCTATGCAGCTTGGCCTAGTACTTTCTCCTCTAACCCCTGAAGAACATCAGCGCCGCAGGCTTAAGAACTTATGCCTCTACTGTAGAGAACGTGGACATTTCCTGCTCGGATGTCCGGTCCGACCCAGTAAGTTGTCATCTTTCTTCGGCTTTCTTTGCAGATATCGGGAAAGACTATCTGGGTCCCGGCCATAATTGACTCGGGTGCATGCAGTTGCTTCATGGATAAAAATTTTGCTCGTCATCACCAAATTCCTCTACGCAACAATGCACAATCTATGATTATTCAGCTGGCAGATGGGTCCAATCCCAATTCTGGACCCATCACTCAAGAAACCTGTGGTTTGCTTGCCTCCACTAAAATGGAACACCAGGAGTACTTATGCCTAGATGTGATCTATTCTCCCTTGTTCCCTGTGATCCTGGTAGTTCCGTGGCTACAGGTACACGAACCTAAATTAATTGGGGTTCTGGAACCCTAACCTTCCCTTTCTCTTATTGCCAACTACATTATCAGCAAGGAGCTCTTCTGGGGGTGCAACTAGAACTTACCTCTGCTACCCAACTTGTTCCAACCGAATACTATGAATTTATTGACATTTTTGACAAACAGAAAGCGTACTCTTTACCGCCTCGACGACTGTCCAATCGAGTTGCTACCTGGAGCAAAAATACCCTTTAGTATAATTTATCCTCTGTCGAATCAGAACTTGAGACCTTACAACACTACATAAAGGAAAATCTTGCCAAGCATTTATACAGCCTTCCACCTCACCTGCTGGAGCAGGTATAGTTTTAGTTGAAAAGAAAGATCATACACCACGTCCCTACATTGATTACAGAAAATGAAACAAAATTACAGTGAAGAACCGATACTCCTTGCCCCTGGTACCACAGCTCTTCCAGCTTTTCAGATCCGCAAAAATCTTCTCTAAATTGGATCTTGGCCTACAACTTAATAAGGATATGAGACGGAGATGAATGGAAGATGGCTTTTCGTACACGGTTTGGGCACTTGGAATATTTGGTGATGAGTTTTGGGTTGTGTAATGCCAGGACATTGTTCCAGCACCTGGTAAACTATATGTTTAGAGACCTCCTGGACCTTTTCATGATAGTTTATCTGGTTGATATTTTGATTTTGTTCATCTTCTCTTGCTCATCGAACCCACATCAAAAGGGTCCTGAGCCATTAACTATATGTTAAGGCAAAGAAATGTGAATTAGAGAAAGGCACTGTTCAATTCCTAGGTCTGCTGATCTCCACATCAGGCATTGCCATGGACCCACAAAAGGTGGCGGCCATTTTAGATTGGCCTGCACCTGGGGACCGTAAAAGCGTCCAACTATTCATAGGTTTCGCCAATTTTTACTGCAAATTTATCAAAGGGTTCTCATCCATCATCAACCCAATAACGTGAATAATTAAAAAAAGGGCTTGTTTTCATTGTTCGCTAGCAGCGCAGGCTGCCTTTGAGAAAAATAAAGGCGCTGTTCATATCAGCACCTGTTTTACAACATCCTGACCCAGCTCTCCCATTTGTTCTAGAGGTGGATGCCTCTGAGAATGCTGTTGGGGCTATTCTATCTCAACGTCAGGGCGAAAGATCCATGCTCCGCCCTGTGGCTTTCTTTTCGAATAAACTTTCTCCCGCAGATAAGAACTATGACGTGGAGGACCGGAAGCTTCTGGCCATCAAATCCGCTTTAAAGAAATGGTGATACTTGAGGGTGATGTTCATCTGGTCTTAGTCTTCACAGATCATAAGAACCTTGAATACCTCCGAACGACTAAACGCTTAAACCAGGTGGGCACTGAACTTTTCACGATTTGCATTGCACATCACTTACCATCCCGGATCCAAAAATTTCAAGCCTGATGCTCTATTTCGCATGTATCCAATGACTGAGGACTCCAAATCTGCCGATACCATCCTGCCCGCTCAGAGCTTTTTGTTAGTAAAAGTCAATATAATCAAGAAATAACATTAGTAGACATGTGTTGCAAATGAAAATATAGAGGCACTGGAAGTTTCACACCCCGTGTTGTAATGTAGAGAAAGGAGGTATTTCCACAGTGGGGTGTGCAAATGCCCAAAGGGAGAAAAGAAAAGGGGCTTTTTAGAAAACAATCCCAGACCTCAAAAATAAAATCTTAGTAAAACATTTATTTGAGATATCATTTTAAACATTATTAAAAAGCAAAAAGGTCAAAGAAAAATCACAGATAAAAACATATGCGGATGCATTCATCCGGTGACAATACCATACAGTTATTAAATCTGCAGTTGCTTGTTTTCAAAATTATATGAGTGCTCCTGTATGTCCCAACATCTTTCGCCCAAATGGGCTTCTTCAGGGGAAGAGATCAGGAGAAAAATATATGTGTCCTAGGGTAGAAAATAGGAAAAACCCACATGTGAGGAGACTAGGGAGCTGCACTTAAATCTTATTAGCAAAATCATCATTTACATTCATTAGACCAGTCATAGCAAATGCAATAATATTAAAGTTAGAGTGTTGAATGCTTACGTGCATATATCTTCACGTTTAGTTGATCAGAAGCATAAGCACAAGAATATGATGAAAGCAACTGTGTTTGTATTCAGATAGAAATACAAAATCAATTTCTATCTGAATCTGGGACATACAGGAGCACTCATATAATTTTGAAAACAAGCAACTGCAGATTTAATAACTGTATGGTATTGTCACCGGATGGTGAATGCATCCGCATATGTTTTTATCTGATTTTTCTTTGACCTTTTTGCTTTTTAATAATGTTTAAAATGATATCTCAAATAAATGTTTTTCTAAGATTTTATTTTTGAGGTCTGGGATTGTTTTCTAAAAAGCCCCTTTTCTTTTCTCCCTTTGGGCATTTGCACACCCCACTGTGGAAATACCTCCTTTCTCTAAAAGTCAATATAATGTCTCAACTTCGACAAGCTTCTACGGCAGATGTTTTCCCTTCAGGATTTAATTTTCAGGAGAAGGGTCGTTTATTTTTTCTGGACTATAGAGTTTTTGTGCCGCCCCAGCGGCTTATTCATATCTTGAATAGGAAACAAAGATATGATGGTGAAAAGTTATTTGTCCTTTGTCAAGCATGAGACATGGCATCTTAATTTATCTTAGTCTGGTTCCATTGTCAGCTTTTATCTAGTTATTATCTAGGCCAGAGGTGCCCACTAGGTCGATTGCGATCTACCAGTCGATCGCAAAGCTATTTCTGGTAGATCGCGGTTGCTAGTTCAATTTGGCTGCTTCGTTTATCTGGGCACTCAGCTGCTGCTGGCCGGGTGCTCCAACTTGGCCGGCAGGTGACGCTATGTCCTGGCCGAGCCCCTGCCGCTGAGAGCCATGCTGCAAAGAGTATATATATTTATATAATGTACGTGTGTGTGTGTATATATGTGTATATGTATATATATATATATAACAACAACCACCACTCTGTGTTCTGTTCCATGCTGTAATCCACCTCCAGTGAACAAGTGACAAAAGATCCGCACACACCGGAATTAGATGACCCCCTTTTTACAGTGTGTTCATCACAATCGGACCTACTCTGTGTTCTGTTGCGGGAGGTGCGTTGCGGAGCCATTCTATGGTAGATCTCATTGAGCCGGTCATACAAAAAGTAGATCTTAGCACACAAAATTGTGGGCACCCCTGATCTAGGCTGCAAAAACCCACAAAATGTATAACCTGGGAATATATGATGTTTGTCTTCAATTTAAATGAAATTCACCTTAATTCTACAGAATAAGAGAACAGCATGGCTTCCAGGGTGCCCATGTTACATTATGTATATGTGATAAGTTTAGGCCTCAGTTTCATTCTGTGAGTTCTTAATAGTTCCGACAACAGCCACACAAGGGAGGGACTGAATATGGATAATTAAAACATTTTTACACCCTTCTTTATTATTTAAAATTAAATAAATCTAACAATAAAATGTAAAGCATTGGCATGGTCATCGAGCAAACTCTTCAGAGGTTTTGCATGTTCAATGAAAATCTAACCGTGTATAGTCAGCATAAGCATACACCAGGTGTGGCAGCAGCTGCTTTGGCTGAGCCAGGTTAAAAAGCCAAAGGAAGTTTAGAAGTAAGGGGAGGGCAGAAATTACTCAAGCTTCAGAGGTTCCAGCCCTGTTGGTAAGGGCAACACACTATAAGCTTCTTTGGGAGTCAAGGACTGATGTAACCTTGTCTAATCTGAAAACTGTTTTATTTTATAACCAGGGTAGTTGCGCTAGGATATATTGTTAACCAGCTGCAGCAATATCTATCAACGTGATCAAGTGTGGGCCGGTGTGCTGCGCTTGGTTTTGTGTGTTCCACCTATTTAACTATAAATTATTTATACTATATTTTTAACACAAACATTTTTATTTTATTTATATTCATAATTATTTATATACCACTATAGAAAATATTAAACTATTACTTCACTACATAATTAGGCACACATTTTTAGTTGTACATTAACTTTTGTATTCCCCTTATTAACATGTATTTAAGTATACAGTTGTAATGAGGATTTGATCACCGGCACTCACGTGTTCTAATTCAGGTTGTGACAATACACATTTCTCACATTTCTATATAAAATTTATAGTTAAATTAATAGGTGGAACTGTTTTATTTTGTATGCAGTGATACTGTAAAATAAGCAAAGATTACATCATTAAAGTGGTTTCTTGGCTAAGGAAATGCTTTCCGGTGAGTTTTACTCATTATTTGATGTGATTTGAAACAAAAATTGTGTTATATGATTGAATATCTATAAATTTAACAGATGGGGATGGATATGGGAATCGTAAATGCAGGAAACCTTCCAGTATATGATGACATTGACAAAGAGCTTCTTCAGCTGTGTGAGAATCTAATATGGAACAAGCATCATGAAGCAACAGAGAAACTTCTAAAATATGCACAGGTACATTACAAATGCTGCTGTGTAATAGCAAAGATCAGTCTAGGTGTACATAAATTTGTGTTGTAATTTATGTGTACATTTAAATATCTGCATAGTACATGTTGGAGACCTTTTTCTAGACCACAACGTTTTAGTGGCTTGAAGATTTATTTTAATTAGTATAGCCATATGCTTGCACAGGTGGTCTACTCTATAATGTACTAACCCTTCAGTCCACAGCAATGGGTTAATTTGACTGAACTTGACTTTTGTTACCGGGGACAAACTACCAAATTATGCTGATAACAGTAGCAGCAGCATTAAAAGGGCCATCTTATATGCATTCATTTAGCCCTTGAATGGCTGCATCTTCAATTCTGGTTGTTTGATATTTTATAGATAATCTTGACAGCCTACACCTAGCCATATTATCAGAAGATGTAACATGTAAAACTACATTATGACTCATGTCTTGTGTGTGCATAGACATTTCGACGGTGTACTGCAGTTTGCCATCACCTGTATGTGTATGCAGTTTGCGGTTTTAACAGAACATTACAGTGTAACTTAACTTTCTCTTCTTTTCATTATAGGACACAGCCGGATCCTTAGGATCTTGACCATATGGGTTTATATAGCCACCTGCAGGAGTAAAATGCTGGGCAAAATAAGAAAAAAAAAACACAGCCCAAGGGTGGTCCCTGTTGGTGCCCAAACCCCCTGACTGCAATAATCCACAGATCTAGGACCTTTTTTTTCTATTTTTTGCTGGATTTTGATCTTTGATGTCATGTAATAACACTTGTGGTCATATTGGCAGAAACGTCAAGAATAACAGAGCCTACAACAGCTGTATGAGAGAAGAGGCTGCTCCTCGCTGAGGGGGAGAGTGGCTTGCCGATGTCAGGGCATCAGAGACTGGTGCCACCCACGCCTCTCCTTGTGTTACCAGATGGGGGAGGCTGCTCACGTCTTTGACGCGGACTGCTGTTTCCCCTGGTATGACGATTATAGATACTCCTCGCAGAGGCGTCCCGTTGCAGTCAAGTTCACCGGTGACCGAGCCTATTCAATGCCCTTAGGGGTGTGTACGGTTTCTCCTCATCTGGGTCCTAATATCTGACTACCGGGGATGGGGCTGAGTCTGTGTCACATAGACATGAGCAGCCTCCCCTGTCTTGTAGCACAGGGAGAGGCGTGTCTGGCAACGGTCTCTGATGCCCTGACAGCGGCGAACCACTGCCCCATCAGCGAAGAGCAGCCTCTTCTCTCAAACAGCTGTTGTAGGATCTGTTATTCTTGACAGTTCGGCCGATCTGACCACATGTGTTATTACATGACATCAAGGCAACACTATACTTTATTAATTTACATGTGTCATTTTTGCATATCTTGCTTTTCAATTTGCATCATGCCTTGCTCAAAACAAGACAGTCTAGGTTTGAATTCAGGCAGGAATATGACATCTTTGTGACGTCACAGGGTCTCTGGAAGCTCTGGGATTGGTCTGGTATCACGTAATATTCTATATATATATATATACATGTGTGTTCACTTGCACCTTTATCACACGTCCTGTCTGAGGAAGGGGATCCTGTGTGACCCCGAAATGTTGCACTGAATGTGATTTGCTGCATCTACGTCAATGAAGACTCCTGGTTGTGCTATGTAGTCCACTGTGCTCTTTGGAACCTTCAGTGTAGCACAGATATTTTTGTAGCCTTCCCCAGATCTGTGCCTTGCAATAATCCTTCTCTGAGCTCTGCAGGCAGTTCCTTTGACCTCTTGGCTTTTGCTCTGATACAGTATGCATTGTCAGCTGTGAGGCCTTCTATAGAGAGGTGTGTGCCTTTCCAAATCATGCCCAATCAATTTAATTTACCACAGGAGGACTCCAATCAAGGTGTAGAAACATCTTAGCAACGATCAAAAGAAATAGGGGGCACCAGAGCTAAATTTCAAATGTTGTTATGCCAATGTGATATTTCAGTTTTTCATACATTTGCAAACATTTCTAAAATTCTGTTTTCACTGTGTCATTATGGGGTACTGAGTGTAGATCTTCTCCTGGTGGCACGATCGCCCAAAGGTCTTGCCTTTTTTTGGCTGGCAGTGCCCAGACTGAGGTCAGAGGCTTCGGCTGTGCACTGAGGGTGCCCCTGCTGCTTAGCTAGGGTAAGTATATTTCTAGGAGATGAGGCTTTGAGTAAGCCAAAGTGCTTTCCACAGGGGAGGCCATTGACCCAAATGCTGAGGGATCCCCCAATGCAGTGCATGTTGGCTCACTGGGCGTCCAGTCTTTCCCTCTCCCCTGCCTTTTAATGGCTACTTCTGGGGGGGCTGGAGAATGCTCCTCCACCGACCCTGCTTAGAATCTGAGCAGGGGAGGCCGGGGTTGCAGCGGTCTTTGGCTCTGCTAACTGATAGCACTCTAAGTGACCTGCCTTGTGTTTTATGATGGTGGGTGGCAGCAGCCATTTTGGCTGCTGGAGTTGGGGTAGGCAGTCACCATAAGAGGTGTGGATTGGTTCGGCTTTCGGCTGTGGCCATCTTCCCTGTCTTCAGTGCACTGTGGGGGGCTGGATCCCCACAGCTACCGTGTCAGCAATGTGTGTAAGAGGGCTGAGAATTTGTTCTCCGCTGGTCCTGCTGTCCTGGGTGACGCTGTAATCCAGCAGCCGCCATGTTTATTGAGGACAGCTAGCCTCACGAGAGTGTGGTTCTTTCAGGGAGCTGGCAGGGAGACAGACCCTTTTCTTTCTGGAATGCGATTCAGCAACAGCATAGACCAGTTGCTCCTCTCCTTTTCGCCTGCTTGCCTGCACATGGTCCTGTTTGGCAGGAGTTTTGTCACCTAATGGCTGGTAAGTCCTTACGGAGGTTGTATCCTCTGGCATTACATCCTTCTTCTCCTTCCTCTTCCAAGTTTTCTGATGAGGAGCCATCTGCGGCTGACCCTATTCCCTCTGTATCGGCGGAGCTGGACTTGGGTTTCTTCTGGTAGCGAGGATGGGATGCCAGCGACTAAATTGGTGCAGGAGATAAAGCTGGTGTCGGAGCTTAACAAAGCTGTCTGGGAGGCTCTTAAGATTGAGGATTCAGCTACTTCTTCAAGGATTCTACTGTGCCATTCAGTACCCACAAATGTAGATGGTCTTCTAAGGTTTTTCCTTACGATCTGTTCTTAGATTACTTTATTTACAAGGATTGGTCTCCACAGTTCGGCCTTTTACACTGCCTAGGCATTTTGCAGTGTGTTATCTGTTTGAGGAACCATTTGTAGAAAGAAATGATCTTCTCCAGTGGTGGATCCTCCTGTTTCCAAACTTAACAAGGCCACTATTATTACTGTTGAAGAATCCTCATCTTTTAGAAACCCTTCAGACAGGAAGGCAGTGTGTGTTACCCATTCTATGTACGCAGTTGCTGGAGCTGTGCTTAGGCCGGTCTTGGCTTCTGCCCTAGTCATGCAAACTCTGACCGAATGGGTAAAACTGTTACGTCAGTGCGGACCAGATCGTTCCGGGACTGAAATATGTCTGTGCCTTCCAAACGCTAAGGAAGTTTGTTGGAAGTCGGGGGCTTGCGGCCAAGGGGCTTTAGAAAAGAATAAGACCGTAAAGCCTCTAGCAGCACAAAACCTCTGAACCTGAGAAGTCCTCAGCATGAAGGTGCTCCCCCATCGGGGATCTCAAGGTGGGGGACGTTTACTGTTGGCATATTGCTGGTCCAAAGGTGGCTTGAGGATCGAGTGTCGAATTTCAGTCTTGTCCTTCTGAGCTTTTTTTATTTTGCTTCAAATCTGTCTTGCCCAATCATGGGATGATTGTCCTAGTACCCGCCTTCGAAAGATTCAAGCGCTTTTATTCCAATCTGTTTACAGTTCCCAAGAGGGACAGGGTTCATCCTATACTATATCTTAAGGCTTTAAATGTCTTTGTGAAGTACGTAAGTTTCAGATGGAGTTGTTTTGGTCAGCCATAGCCTTTCTTCATGTGGGGGATTTTCTGGCTTCAATTGACATCAAAGATGCCTATGTTCACATGGCCATCTGTTGCGCTCATCAGTGCTTCCTCAGTTTTGTGGTGGGGAACATACACTTCCAGTTTGTGGCGCTCGTTTTTGGCCTGGCGTTGGCTCCATGGGTGTTTAGCAAGGTCCTTGCGCCTGTTCTAGCCTTATATCTGCAGGGGATTCCAATTTTCGGTATTTAGTTGACCTGTTTCTACAGTACGTGCAGACTCTGCGTCTGACCTGAAACTGAATCTGCAGGTCACAATTCAAACGCTGGAAGAGGCATCTGTGGTTCCTTCTTTCTCTTTGGAGTATTTTGGTCTTATTCTCGGGTAGCCAAGGTTTTTCTACCTCTGGAGAAGCTTCTTAAACCTCAATGCCTTGTTTGTCAGTTGGGCGATCAACAGTGCAAAGAGGTCTTCTCTTCGCACTGACATGACGGTACTGGGTCTTGGCAGTTGCCTTCGCTCAACATCACACTGGATCCTGCAATGGGAGATTGTTGCATTGGACAGTTTTTTTTTTTTTTTTTTACCGGTCTCATCAGACCAAGGCTTCTCTGATGGGGTGGCTACATTCTCCAATGTTGCAGTTGGACAAGTCCTCCCTACCTCTGTGATGAAAGATTGTTATGACAGATGCCAGTCTGTCCAACTGAGGTTGTCCACCAATGTCCTGAAGCTGTGGGCGATCTTCTTGTCTCTTGGACGCTGGATAGATCTCCTTGAACATCCGCTCCCAGTCCATACTTATGGCAGTGGCATACATCAATCATGGAGGCACAGAGAGTTCTGCAGCAGTGCTGGAGGTAACTCCAATCCTGGCTTGGGTGGAAGCTCACATGCCAGCTCTGTCTGCCGTGTGTGTCCAATGCTTTTCACCCTCACCCTTTCTTGATTGCAAGAGTTGTGTCCTTCCTTCAATGGGTGGTGGATCAATGTTTAGCCCTGACCACCGTCAAGGGGCAGGTGTCTGCCTTGGTGGTCCTTTTTCAGCATGCCTTGGCC